GAAGCCACTACAAACCACCCGATCGATGGCCGGAAGGGTGACGAAAGCAAAAGGAAAGGGAGCAAGAGGACCTAAAAGAGCGAAAGCTGCAGGTCTAGTGGCAGGTCTAGCGGCAGGTCCAGCTCCAGCAGCAGACCCAGCCCCAGCCCCAGGAGCACCAGCAGTGCCAGCGGAACCCGCCATAGTATTATCGCCGACAACCCCACGGGCGATACCAGAACAGCCAAAGTTCATGACGTGTATTGGATGCATTGGACACGAAAACATAAACTAGGAAGGAGAAACATTTCCCACGTTCAACTGCCTTTTCGATACCATAGCCAGCAAGAAATGCAACCGATGTAGAGGGGCTAGCAAAGCCACATGTCACCCACCACTATTCGGAATCTAATACGATAGCTAGACATTCCACATACTTATGGACTACGCCAGAAATACAGACCCTGCCGCAACACATGCGAGTCAAGGACTATCGGCACCATTTGGCACACCAGGAGCAACCAACGCAGCGTTCACCTAGGCAGAAACCGCACCCGAAACAGCCCAGGCGGCAGCTAGCAACCTGATAATAGCATTCCGATAGCTAATCACAATCCACTCGACGGAATCGGGGATCGAAACGGACAAGAAATATGACCCAAAGCTTATCAGGGAATACATAGCCGTCCAGCGGGAAAAGCACAACGCCCAAATCAGACTCCTACCGCATCCGATTCGCTTCCCGAACACCTTATGCAGACTGGAATCCTCAGAAGGAGGGTACACCATGTGGCAGTCCGCCATATTATCCTTTTTCCGGGAATTAGCAACGGCTCAACCTGCGAACGCCGCCGTTATCATGAATAAGGCAACAGAATACCATTTGCCATTCTGATCTCAGGGGATCAGTAAAATGCCGCCAGAGAGGACCACGGATAGAAGACGAAATAGAGACTAGCTTCTCTAGGAAAAGCCCACTTTCGTGTTGTCCACTTTTTATTATTTTTTTTTCCACTCACCACTTTCTTTACCCCGCATAAAGGCTGATTCTTCAACAAAAATCGGCCACCCAACAGATACAATATGCAGGGCACTCGGGGGCATATCGTGCACCTATCCACATTCATTTATTTTATCGATCCATGTATATAGCGACTCGAGATTTTAAAGTTGCTCCAGTGTCGGAACATGGATATTGCAATCATGCAATACCATAAACCCGGAACGGAACAAACAGACCCCCGAGTCACGGGGGAACAACTATATTAGGAACTCAAGTAGCTACATGAATCGAACACATTTCACACCACTTTGCACAACGTATATACTAAGAATCTAGGACGAACCATACCCTTTTCCAGTGTATATAGTGCAACGTGTGAACCCTGTCCTTTCAACGTAGTTGATCGACAGTATGATATCGAGACACGTTGGAACTCGACATATCTTATGATTCAAGATGCTATCCTTGCTCAAGAGTAGATTAAACATTGGAATAATGTTCAGAATCAGCTGATACCATTTTCAAATGATGATTGGTCTAATCTTCGTGATCTTGCCATGGTTCTTTCAAGATTCTATGAGTTTACCCAACTTATCTCTCAGCGGCAACCTCATATAAGTCTAGTAATTCCTATTTACTATGAATTGCATGACCTCCTTATAGAAGCAGCTTCTTTTGAAGGCGACTTTACAGGGCTTAGTCCTGATATCTCTTCTGCTGTCTTGGTTGGAATGCAAAAGTATAGGAAATACTATGATCTTATGGATATGCAAGATATCTATTATATAGCTCTTGCTCTTGATCCACGTGTCAAATTTGCTCTTTTAGAACAAGAGCTTGAAGATGGGGTTATCCAAGGTAGACATGTGCATGGGTTGGGTATGGGTCAAAATTCATACCCATACCCAACCCATCAGGGGTAAGGTAAACCCATACCCATACCCAACCCAACCCACGTGGGTATGGGTTGGGTATGGGTCCCATATGGGTATTTTTGATGCCTTAATGCCTGATTTTCGCCTCACCCTAAACTAAATTAGGGTAATTAGTGCCTTAGTGCCTAATTTTTGCCTCAATCTAGTACTAACTAGGTGACAAATATCACGTGAAATAAAAGTCTTGGCAAAAAGATGGGTTTATGGGCTGGGTGTGGGTTTTACTTCAAACCCATACCCAACCCATATGGGTTTTGGGTAAAATTTCTGACCCATACCCAGCCCATTGTGGGTTGGGTTGGGTTGGGTATGGGTTTACCCAACCCAATGAACATGTCTAATCCAAGGAATCATTCAGAGCATTAAGGTCTTTCTTCATAAGAAATATCCCCCTTTGGCTACCTCCATCTCTAGTTCTACTTCTAGAACTATGGATCCTCCTGCTCGACCAGGTATGAGAGCTCGTCTTCTACAAAAAGTACATTCTCAAGAAGTATCTCGGGCTTCTGATATTGATCGCTATTTTGATGAGCCTCCTATTCAAGTAGAAGGATTAATAGAAGACCAAGATGACTCTAAGTGGCTGCTTTCATGGTGGAACGCTCATAAGGATCAATACCCCAGGATGGCAGCAGTTGCAAGGGACTACCTTGGTATTCCAGCAGCTGAGGTTTCAGTTGAAAGACTTTTCAGTTCTGTAAGGGATATCCTGGGTGTTCGTCGACAATCTCTGAACAGTAAGACCATGAGAGAGTTAGTTTTGTTAAGAGATGTATATAATATTGATTCCTAATTGAAATTTCTTTTACTTGAGAATTACATGAGATTTATAACTCTATAGACTTGGAAATATATATTAGAACTGCATGTGGTTCTAGACACGTGATATAAGCTACGGATAGAGGGCATTTATTCGTAACCGTAACCGTAGAGATTTTATTCGTATCCGTAACCGTAGAAATTCTACGGTTACGGTTACGGATACGGATATCCGTAAAACCGTGCCGACCTCTAACTAGGCCCTAATCACCCTGTCTTCAATGTCTACTTTCAATGACTGGTGAAAGAAGCGCTTTTTTGCTCGACCTGGCCGATACCGCAGACGAGCATTCTTTGCCCGCCTCTTCCGCAAATACTAGAATTCTGTTTTCTTTTTCAAAAGGGCTTTTCCTAGATTAGGGAAAAAAGATGAGTTCTTACCAGTGCAGACGATAGCATTTAGTCTTCGATCGGTATAAATGGAATTCGCTATATTGCCAAGACTAAATGATCCAATGAAACTTTCGAATTTTTATTTGGTATCTGTGTCATGTGCACACCCGACTCGTTTTTTACGAGTCGGGTGTGCTTCACCGGTTCTGCCAATTTCACCGGTTCTGCCAATTTAAAATATTATTTTACTCTCTCTCTATCAATTCTGCTTTAAATACAATTCTGCTGCATCTGTTTAAAATATAGTATATCCCTTTCCATCGCCTCCAATATTTGGCCATTTCCCCCTGAATTGTCTCCTGAATCTGCTCCTGAACCTGCTCCTGAACCTGCTCTTGAACCTGCTCCTCGGCCTGTTTTTGAGCTTTTAGAGAGCTTCTTGGGCCTGTTTTGTAATTTTTTTTCTAGTTGTAACTCCTCCTTGGTTTTCCTGATTTTCACAAAGCGTTTTATATGGTGTAGGTTTAATACACCAGTCTGCTGGAGGGGTGGTTGGTTAAGCTGTCGTTTGGTTTTAGAGCGCCGAATTGGTTCTTGCGCAACCCTAATATTCTCAACCGTAATCTTAAGATTTCGATACTCTTCTTGGATCAATTGGGAATGGCGAGTAAGATATTTAAGACCCCTTTAAACCCTTAGTTTGAGGAGGTCTATATCAATATGCTTGATAATCTTCTCTTGGTTCATCTGAAGTCGTACTAAGGTTTTTGGCGGAGTATATTCAATACTAGAGGAAGAGAGTGGTAGAGATGGTGTGCGTTCATCATTGTGTTGACGAAGAGGACCTATAAACCATATTGTTATGGGATCGTGCCTATGTTCACGTCCATTCTACTGAGCTAAAAGACTATAATGATTTCGCTCTCACGAAATCATACTTAGGCTCTACTTGTATAGTGCCACTCTTGATCCTACACTAAACATCATTTGTCAGGTGTTCTTAACCTATGACACCTCACTAGGTTGAAAACCACACTCATCAAAGTTATAGATTAACCGCGAAGGCATACCACGAAGCAGATCATACCAATGACCTATCTTAGCTGGATTTTTAGCCATCATTCGCTTAGAATCCTTGACTTTCTGCTTCTAAGGACCTAGTTTTAGACCTTTAGGAAGACGCTTAGTAAAGCGATATACCCAATTTGGCCCAACAGTTCTAGTATCCTTAGTATCTTCAGAACTAGAATCTTGAAGTAGGCGATTTGCCCACATCTCAACCTGTTTTGGTGTTGGTGGCATACGCCAATCAGTTAGCTGGGTAATTTAGCGTACTAAAATCTCCTCCTGGATATCGGTAAAAACCTTATTGACTGGTTTTTGTTGAGTTTTCGCGGTCGCATTGGTTTTAACGCGGTTATGGAGAGTACGTCGATTGACACCAAATTCGCGCGCAATCTTAGAGATATTTGGGTTTTTTTCGCGTTTGGCGCATCAAAGGCCTTAGAGAGATGGGCCTTAGTCGATTCAAAGGTTTTAGGCATGGTGGGTGGGAGATATTGGGTAAAATAGAATGGAATGTGGAATTGGAAGAACCGGTGAAAAAAAAAAAAATTGGCAGAACCGGTGAAGCACACCCGACTCGTAAAAAACGAGTCGGGTGTGCACATGACACAGATACAGTTTCCAGTATTTTACATTTTGTATTTATAAACGCGTGGTTCGTACATTACAAAAACGCTATCCAAATACACTTTAGAGAACTATTAACCGTATATGGGTTAGAGCGTTTCAAGACAGGGTTTGGGAAAGAAAATGTGCGAATTCAGTATGGAAACCAATTTTGAATCTCACTGTATGGTATGGAACACACGTACCTCTGATAAAAAAAAAAAAAACCTTAAATATTCGACTGTACCTCATCAGCGAAAATGACGGGACGGGCCGAGGCGCGAACCCCTGAACCGCCCGACGGCAACGAACACGAAAACTCTCCACCGCGATTGTTGAGACCGAGACGCTCCACTAGACCGCCTAACAATTTTGCCCAGGAGCAAGAACTCGATATCGAGCAAAGCAACGCACGTCCGCTACGGAAGAAGACCCAGGGCAAGCCAGTACCCCAACGTGAAGTGGTAACATCGGAATCAGCATCAGAGAGCGAGGACCCGAGCGCTTCAGAACTGTTAAAGGAACTTGTCAAGCTCAGGAAGGAGATCAGACGGCGAGACGAATTGCACAAGGAAGAACTTCAGAAAGTCAAAGAAGAATTTACCGCCGCCCTCGCAGAAGTTCGACATGAGCTACAAAACCTGACGGATAGACCCCTTACACCGCAACCCATTTCCGAACCATGCGCCCAGAAAGGCCACGATGAGATCCTTCGCGAAATCCAATCCTTGCGTGATGCAATCAGCCCTACAGATCCCACCATGGGATCTCCGTCCTATGCAGATGTTGCCCGCACCCCTCCAACCAGCCACCTAAGCAATATACGAACACTCTCATCGTTGAACACGACACCGTCCACCTTCACCGACACGTTGTACTGCACAATAGACACCTCGAAGATGGTCAATAATGAAAGTGAAAAGAAGTCCGCAGGTCCGATCCGGGCGGCGGTTGAAACAGAGATCCGGAGTATGGAAGAGCATGCGCACTGGCGCTGCCGCGCCGTCACAGTGGATCCGAAAAACAACCACCGGATCCGAATAGTATGTCGCGATGAAGCCGAACACCAGCTAGTCAAGAAAGTGGCGGAAGCGAAGATCGGCGGAGGAGCCCGGGTGCTACGTGACGAGCTGTACCCGATCAAAGTCGACAGCGTCAACAAGGGTGCAGTTTTGGACGAAAAAGACGAGATCCGAGCTGGTGCCATGGCGGCCTTCAGCGAAGAGAACGAAGTCACCGTTGCTAAGATTGCGTGGCTTAGCAGTAAAGAAAGCGTAAAGGCCTACGGGTCGATGGTTGTCTACCTAACCAGAGGCACTGATGCGCGGAGGCTCCTGGCCGACGGACTCTTCCACGCTGGGGGAGAATCCGGCGTGACTAGCACATTTAAATATCGTCCACGACCGAAGCAATGTTACAATTGTCAGGAGATTGGACATAAGGCATTCCAGTGTAAGAACGTCCAGAAGTGTGCAAGATGCGCTATGGAGGGCCATCGCCATAGTGACTATAACCAAACGGTTCTAAAGTGTGTTCCGTGTGGAGGCCCGCATGAATCGTACAGCAAGAACTGCCGGAAGCTCTACCCGTCAAGTCATGAGTAAACCTTTCCGTATCATCCAACTGAACGTGAGAAAACAGGGCGTGGTACATGACAGCTTGATGAATGACGAACAAACTCGAGACGCAGCGGTGTTAGCGATCCAAGAACCCCAAGCGAGGAGAATCCATGGTAGGCTCTTAACGACCCCGATGGGACATCACAAGTGGACGAAGATGGTTCCTTCCACCTGGAGGGAAGGCAGATGGGCGATCCGAAGCATGCTTTGGGTCAATAAAGAGATAGAAGCGGAGCAGGTGGCTATAGAATCGCCGGATCTTACGGCGGCGGTCATTCGGCTCCCCGAGCGACTGATTTTTATGGCATCAGTTTATGTCGAGGGGGGAGATGCCTCGGCATTGAATGACGCGTGCGATCATCTAAGAAAGGCAGTTGCAAAGGTGCGGCGAGACACAGGCGCTATGGTGGAGGTCATGATTGTGGGAGACTTTAACCGCCATGATCAACTCTAGGGAGGAGACGAGGTGTCCCTGGGAAGATAGGGCGAAGCGGATCCAATCATTGACCTCATGAACGAGTTTGCTCTTAGCAGCTTACTTAAACGAGGTACAAAGACATAGCACGGTAGTAGACAGAGTGGGGACTACGAGTCGACCATCGACCTCGTCCTGGCCTCTGATAATCTAACAGGTTCAATGATCAAGTGTGCGATACATGGGACAGAGCACGGCTCAGATCACCGCGCTATTAAGACTATGATTGATGCACCATGGTCAGCCCCGAAGCATCAGGAACGACTTCTGCTAAAGAACGCACCATGGAAAGGGATTAATGCTAGAATCGCGAATGCTCTGACCGCCACTCCATCAGGACGCATGGTATAGCAGAAGACTGATCGACTAATGATGGTGGTTAGTGAGGCGGTGCATGCTTTGACTCCAAAGGTAAAGCCATCACCACACGCGAAATAATGGTGGATAGCTGACTTAACATAGCTACGCCAGATATACATATACTAGCGAAATCATGCTCGCTCGGAGCGCCGGGTGGGACGAAATATACCGTACTTGGAAAAGATAGCCCAAAGTACGGCGAAACAATACCACGATGCCATCCGCAAACAAAAGAAGAAGCACTGGAATGAGTTTCTCGCAGACAACGATAATATCTGGAAAGCCGCTAAATACCTAAAGTCAGGAGAGGATGCAGCATTTGGGAAGCTACCATAGCTTGTTAGAGCAGACGGGACTACCACCACGAATCATTAAGAGCAAGCAGAAGAGCTGCTATCCAAATTCTTCCCCCCTTTGCCTGATGTTATTGACGAGGAGGGGACTAGGCCATAAAGAGAGCCGGTGGGAATGCCTGCTATCAGCCTAGAGGAGGTAGAACGATAGCTTTTTACAGCGAAATCATGGAAGGCGCCGGGTGAAGATGGTCTACTAGCGATAGTCTGGAAGATGACGTGGCCCATAGTCAAGCACAGGGTTCTCGACTTGTTCTAGGTGTTACTGGAAGAAGGCAAGTTGCCGAGATAGTAGAAACATATAAAGATTATACCGCTCAAAAAGCCGAACAAGGAAAACTACACCATTGCGAAGGCATGGAGGCCAATTTCGCTCCTCGCGACGCTGGGCAAGATACTGGAATCCGTGGCTGCAGAAAGGATCTCGCACGCTATAGAGACATAAGGCTTACTCCCGACCAGCCATTTCGGAGCCCGAAAACAACGGTCCGCGGAGCAGGCGCTTGTCCTCTTGCAAGAGCAGATTTATATAGCTTGGTGTGGCCGACGGGTGTTGAGTTTGATCAGCTTCGATGTCAAAGGCGCCTACAACGGTGTGTGCAAAGAACGACTGCTCCAGAGAATGAAAGCGCGAGGCATACCAGTTGACCTGCTTCAGTGGGTCGAAGTATTCTACTCGGAACGAACGGCGACCATTCAAATCAATGGGCAAGTGTCAGAGGTCTATAGCCTTCCATAGGCTGGCCTACCTTAGGGCTCACCCCTGTCCCCGATCCTCTTCCTCTTCTTTAATATAGACCTCGTTCAACGTCAGATTAATAGCTAGGGCGGAGCGATGGCGTTCGTGGATGATTTTACCGCATGGGTGACCGGGCCCACCGCTTAAGGCAACCAGGAAGGCATTGAAGCAATTATCAATGAAGCACTCGACTAGGAGAAAAGGAGCGGAGCGACTTTCGAAGCAGATAAAACAGCCATTATATACTTTGCTCCTAAGGCTCATAAATTAGACCAAGGGCCATTCACGATTAAGGGATAAACCATTGAGCCCAAGGAATATGTCAAGATCTTGGGCGTCCTTATGGACACGAAACTCAAGTACAAGGAGCATATTGCGAGGGCAGCATCTAAGGGCCTAGAGGCCGCGATGGAGCTTCGACGACTTCGAAGTCTATCGCCAGCGACAGCGCGGCAGCTATTTACATCAACGGTGGCGCCGGTCGTGGACTACGCGTCTAATGTCTAGATGCACGCTTACAAGGATAAGGCCATGGGGCCGATAAACCGCGTCCAAAGGGTAGGAGCGCAGGCGATTATAGGAACATTCCTTATAGTTACGACCAGTGTAGCAGAGGCAGAGGCCCACCTTGCCACTGTTCAACAACGTTTCTGGAGACGAGCTGTGAAAATGTGGACGGACATACATACCCTGCCAGAAACCAACCCTCTCCGTAGGAATATAGCACGGATCAAGAAATTCAGAAGATTCCATCGTTCGCCGTTATATTAGGTAGCAGACGCACTAAAGAACATTAACATAGAAACACTAGAAACCATCAATCCATTCACATTAGCACCATGGGAAGCACGCGTATAGACTAGCGCTAAAGCAACTTCGCAATCACCGACTATACCAGCCGGATTGATGTAGATCGTAACCAGCAGTTCAGCACGGAACGGGCTGGTCGGATTTGGGGTGGCAATCGAGAGGCAGCCACCTCGGTATCGAAAACTGAAACTGAAAACCTCTTCCGTCACATTGGGCGTAAGAGCAGAGCAAAATCCTTTCTCCACGGAGCTAGCAGCGATGGCACATGCACTAAGCATAGTAGTTGGACTGAAACAGTATAGGATTACGTTGCTAACGAGCAATAAAGCGGCGGCTCTGACACTAAGGAATCCTCGACAACAGTCAGGCCAGGAATTCGTCTGCCAACTATATAAGTTGATGAGAAAGCTATAGAGAAATGGAAACCAGATCAGTATTCGGTGGATCTCAGCGAGCGAAGACAATAAACTGCGAGGTCTGGCTAAAGAACAGGCCAGAGCCGCGACACAAGAAGATGCTCTCCCGCAAGAACGCGTCCCGAGAATGAAGTCAACAACACTGAATATTGCACGGTCCCAAGCAGTCCCCAGCAATGAACTACCAGTAAACATAGGGAGACACGCAAAACGAGTTGATGCAGCACTCCCTGGCAAACACACCCGACAGCTGTATGACCAATTATCGTGGAAAGAAGCGAGCGTGCTGGCTCAACTCCGAACCGGCATGGCAAGACTCAATGGATATCTCCATCGAATCAACGTAGCAGACACGGACCAGTGTGCGTGTGGACAAGCGAGAGAGACCGTGGAACACTTCCTATTTCGATGTCAAAAATGGACAGCGCACCGAACTGAACTACTACAATATACCAACACCCACCGAGGAAATATATCCTTCTCCCTAGGAGGAAAGTCGCCTTCCGATGATCAAAAGTGGACGCCGAACTTAGAGGCGGTCCGGGCCTCAATACGATTCGCCATGGCCACGGGCCGACTCGAGGCCACCTAACCATGCCGACGAACTTAAAATTCCCCTCCCTTTTTACCGATCTAATCCACCAACCACCTCGTGTTCCAGATGGTAGACGCGCTTCAACTGCCGAAGATAGGATGTTGAACACTTGGAGAAGCGCCTTTAAGCCAGCCTACTAACCAAATTACTAACCCACGAGAATCCGCTGCGATATGGAAATCTGAGATGACATTTATTGCAAGGCTTTATGTATGGGCTCTGAGGAGACATAGTGCTATATTTTATATGACATGTATAGTAGATCAGAGATAGTTGCCCTTTCGGCTTAGCCGCCGGGCGTTAATAAATTGTGTGTGTGTATGGTGTGGAAACCATGCCGACGAACTTAAATCCCCCTCCCTTCTTGCCGATCTAATCCACCAACCACCTCGTGTTCCAGATGGTAGACGCGCTTCAACTGCCGAAGATAGGATGTTGAACACTTGGAGAAGCGCCTTCAAGCCAGCCTACTAACAAAATCACTAACCCATGAGAATCCGCTGCGATATGGAAATCTGAGATGACATTTATTGCAAGGCTTTATGTATGAACTCTGCGGAGACACAGTGCTTTATATTATATGACATGTATAGTAGATCAGAGATAGTTGCCCTTTCGGCTTAGCCGCCGGGCGTTAATAAATTGTGTGTGTATGGTGTGGAAAGAGATAATTTGAGTAGAGCAGCTAAACTTAAACATACATAAGGCCAGCTTATATGTGAAATCTCAGAAATATCAAACATAAAGAATCAAAATAAGCAGAACAGGAGAGCACCATACTCAGTATGTGAGCCTGGAAAATGTCCATGGCGTTCGTTTTCAGGCCATTATATCTTCTCGTGTCTATTACCCTGGCCTGCTCCCTGTCTTTTCTTTTGTCTTGGAGCTTTTCCTTTATTCTTGAGCTTTTTGAGTTGTTGCTCAAGCATGAGAATCTGATCCTTGGTTTCCTGGCTCTGACGACGGCTCGGAAGGGGCTCGCTATACATTCTCTGGGATCTTTCCCTCGTACGATGATGGCTTCGAGGTGGCTCACTGTATGTCTTCTTGGGCTTTTCCTTCTTGTAACCATGGCGCCGAGGCCTCTCATCCGATGAATTGTGTTTCTTCTTTCTATAATAGTCTCTCTTCTCCTCACTGTCGCTATCAGTATCGCTATCAGCGTCGCTGTTATTGCTGCCATTGTTCTCGTTATCGCTGGTACTGTTACTCTCACTGTTCTCATCTCCTTCACTAACCACTTGTTCGTTAAAGTCACCATGTAACTCCCGGTAATCATTCTCCATTTCCTCGGCCTTTTGATAAATTGCGTAGTCGCCTTTTTGAAGAGTACGACGAATGAAAGCTCTTCCCTCGAGGGTTTTTGTGCCATCTTTCCAAAGAACCAGAGCTCTGGTTTGTGGATAGACTACACCCCGTCCAGGTCGAAGAAGTGAGAGAGGATCGATATCACTCTCATCATCATCATTAATCTTCCAAGCAACCCCAAGAATGTCAGCCACATCCTCCCGATTATACTTCCATAGTTCTCGAGCTGGGGTCTTCGTCTCATCCACTACCTTGGCTGTGCCGCGGCACTCTGAGGTGAAGACCTGCGGAACTTTCAATGGATTATAGCGCTGGTAAGACCCAGCTCGAATACGAAAGATTGACGTGTCTGGGTCTCCATAACGGACAAAAGCTTGTGATCCTGTACCCTTAGGCCACCAATACAAGACCTCTCCCTCTTTATGACGACTGTACTGCCCTGCTGCCCGAGATTCGAGTAACTCCAATGGTGAAATATCACTCTGACTAGAAGTTTTGTCTCTTTCAAATCCTTCTTCTGGAGGTGCTGCTTTCTTTTCCATTGGACTAGAACTTGTCCTAGGTCAGGACCCCAATTTTTCTCCGCCCAACCTTCAGTCAAGTTCCAAGACAGGGGTAAATGATATCTTTTATTGAACCCATCTAGTATGCTAGAGCATGAATCGAATGCGGCCCAACAACCTTTAATATCTTTTTTATCATAGCAACTGCCTGCGTGCTCCCGGAAGGTGCGAATATTAACAATGAAAGTTTCTGTGTCTATTTTTCCTTCGGTAAGATCGGCATCTTTCTCCTTATTAGATTCTTCAATTCTTTTGTTGAGGTTATCAAAAAAGTCCTGGCAGTGTTGGTAGTCTGGTGTGGCCTGAAGGAATTCTTCCTGAAAGGCCAGACTCGAGTCCACACATAATTCTTGTATGATCGTGATCAGCCGCTGTGGGAGAGGATCTGGTTCACTCTCGGTAGGCCTGGCATCGTTTCCTTCACTTGCCTCGTCCATTGATGTATCACCTTCCTCAACAGAGGAAGTTCCATCATCTTCACTGATGGAAGGCAAATTCGGATATACAGACAATTTGGTTTCAATGGCATCCGGCTCAACGCTAGGCTCAGGTGTTAGGAGCCGTCCCCGTCTCTCCATTTTTTTGGCTTTTGAGTTTTTATCTGAGGGCATTTCCAGAATGCTTAGATTTTAGAATGTATGAGAAATGATTTCAGTGATTCCAAGGCTCAGTGGTTCTAGACAGTGATAAACCTAGGTATACCTACTTATATACTAGTCCGAGAGCTCGTGAGCCTGCAGGGCTGCCTCCAGGGCTACCTTTGTGTGTGACCCAATCCATGTATAATAGATTTTTGAAACGGCGCGGTGGAGTCCCAAGATCTCCTCTCTACGGCCATGGAAAGGACCTAAAACGGCGCGGTGGAGTCCCAAGACCTCCTCTCTACGGCCATGGAAAGGACCTAAAACGGCGCGGTGGAGTCCCAAGATCTCCTCTCTACAAACTATGGGCAGGACCCGAATTTCCTTTCCTTCACCAGCAACCGCTACTGACGGCATGTTTCTTCAGCTTGGGGAATATCACACTGTAGCTGATACAGTAATATTCGAAATCAGATTTACTTCTTACCTCTTGACTTTCCTTCCCAAACCCTAGCTTAAAACGCGCTTATTTAATTTTAGCCATTGCCTAGTAATCCCTGCTTAACTGTAATATACTCCCTGATATCTGTGAATGAGTCGCTCCAGGTTATAGTGCCGTTTTTTGCCTTGGAATTCGAGAAAACTATCCATACAAAAGACACAAAATAAAGGGAATATTCTAGCAATATAGCAAGATGAAGATCCCTATAGCTAGGTGTCTGACATTTAGCTACGAAATAGATAAAAAAGATACGTAACAGGTAATATTCAAATCAACGAGCAGATTCACAAAGCCCAATTTAGTCGATCAAAGTCTCTCAATTGAAAGATAAATATGCAACTTGTTGACAAAGTCCAGGTTGATTTTGGGAAATATTATCATCCAGAAACTCTTCTAGAGAATCTTCAAAAGTAGCTGCAAACCATCGAAACGCAAATAGTTTAGCAACATTGTTAGAGAAAAGGTCATATTTTTTGCTCGGATGCTTGCTCTCAACCCTCTCATAAGAGAGATTCAGATTGCGAAGTAGGCTATAAAATCTGTTCTTTAGTCGTTTTGGGAGTGTTTTTGGTTGTGCAGATTTTTTGAGCAGAAGCTCTAGATGGTAATAATATCCAGGACCACTAGAGCTGCTGAGTTTAATTTTTGGCCAGGCTTTTTGGCACCAGCTTTGAAATTTATTTAGTAATTGTTGTGGTACCTTCGAGCTCGCATAATCGTCATCGCAAAGTTTCTCGAGAATCCAGGCAATATAGCAGCATAGCCAAGTGATGCTAGAGCCCTCAAGGCAAACATAAGTTATCTCGGACAAATTATCACCAACGTCAGGAAAGAAACACTTTTCAAAGCTTTTGCTCAGGGACGCAAGAAGAACTTCCCAACGCTATTTAAGATATTGTGGATTCCAACGATTTTGATCGTCTTTGACTATATGATTCGATCAAGTCAAAACTAGTAATAACATTACCACCAACTGAAGTGTGACTTACCATCACTAGTATTTCTGGCCATACAGTGGCATTCATCTCTCAGCGACACCATCCATGGCTTTTCTGTCCATTTATGCCTTGAGAGAGCAAAAGCCTTCGTAAATTCCAGAACAAGTAGCTGTTTAAAAGAGCAAAATATCGGATAACGATTGACCGCATAGCTCGGATGAAATGCATTGACGCGCCTAAGACACAGTCCTGGCTCAATAGGCTTTGGCGTGGTCATATCATCATTAAAACTCTTACCCACCCCACGACTGCAAAGTTGGCGAGCAAGTGTATTGTGGGTCTCTGTCTGGAAGCAGCATAGCACAATTTCTGGACGTTTAGCTTTAACCATGTCCGCGAATACGCTGTGTGCATCTTCAATACGTGTTGAGATTGAGATATTTGGGCCCTGGGCGGTCTCGTCGAGGAGCGGTATGGCATCAAATACGCTGATATCGTCAAAGCCCAACTTGGCATTACTCACTGCAGTTATCAAGTCGGATAAAGCTTCAAGAGTCTTGCAGTCGCGCCTGTCTGCCAGAAAGCCGTTCGAGTTGTCCTGCTTAGAGTGGGGCTGTAATAACACGATCGATACGCCTCCCTTCGATTTCGGCCGCGCCATATCAAGGATAAAACTAAGGTCATATAACGGATATTCGTAGTCACCAACTGTGATGTACATCCCAAAGTTTTAGAGAATTTTGATGTGCTTAGAATCTGCCCCATTCGTATGTATCAACGGTGTTTCACGAATGATGCTCCGTAATCGATGGTCAATAGGGATACCTAGGCACTGCATTCTTGAGGAGAAATGCTAATAATGATCAAGGCTAGTCCCGGGTTTAACGAAATATCGCTAGTTAGAGGGGAAACAGATGTTCGGTTTCGATTGTTGGCGCCGCTCAACAGTCATTTCCAAGGGAAAGAAGAAGGGGAAAAAGAGTGGGTAGAAGAGGGGGTAGAATAGTATTGTATATACAGCAGTTTCCTGTAATTTACAAAAACAAAGTACCCGCATCATTTAACATACGCTTCTATTATATAAAACCCGGTGATCAACGTATATACCACATCTGAATTAGTATGTTTCAATTCAGGGTTCGGGACTCCAAGTCGAAGAGTATGGACGTAAATCTGATTTCGAATATCATTGTAAGAATATCAGCAACCTATTGCACAGTTCTCTCATTACATACATAGCAGTAATGGCTTTAATATGGTGAAAGTTTTAATCTTTGGGATGACGCATCTCGATTTTGGTATTGCCGTAATTTAGTTGAAAAAGAGGAATGAAATGGATTACAGTACGTGTATAAGAGGAACTATTGAATTTTACAGGAGCCGAAAAAGGCGCGCTACTGGGGAAGCTGTGATGAGCAGCTTAAACTTACTAAATATCTTCAGGTTTTTACATTTTTAAGATTCTGTATAATATCTTTTTAAACATGGCGCCGCATAGCAATTTTCTAACAAATTTACCTATAGAGATAATGCAGTTGATTGTAAACAATCTAGTCGATTCATCAGTGAAGCAGTTTTCTACTGTGAGCAAGCGATGTAGAATCGTCAGCGCATTTCGCTTATTTCATACTATGAAGGTTTGCTTCTCAAAGTATTCTTTGGATTCTCTTGAGGAGATGTCTCATTCACATTTCGCTTCATATGTGAAAGTCATACATTACGAAGTTTCGGAACTAGTTGACCCTTGTATGTTACAACCTTTGGTTATTGAAAATAAGCTTCTTAATTTTGACTATCTTCTCTAGCTATTCGAGATGTGAGCTACTTTAGAGCTTGTATATACACTCCACAAGAATACAAGTGCGATAAACTTGATTTCAACTGGGATGTTCGTGGTATCGAATCTAAGCATTCCTATACCGCAATTCAATCTCATTGTGGCTTGCTTGCAGAAGAGCAATACAGGGTCACCAGACACGGGATGGACATCCAGTCGCTCTGCAATTCTGTCTTAAGATTTCCCTATTTATCAACCATCAAGCTAATATTCGATGAAACCGACCAACTAAGATTTCTATGGTTCAGAGCACGAATTTTTCAGAACTGGAATATCTCCTTTCTACATCATTTTGAGACATTATGCAGATCGATCATCACTGCACGTGCTCAGGGGATATTCATTGATTCTATTGAGATACGAGGGCTCCGTGAAAAACCAGATATGACTAAGAAAGCTTTCCTTGAAATGGCTAGAGACGCATTAATAGGGTTGAAGCGTCTGGATCTTGAAGAGTTTTCACTTTTTGAATTTTCTACTCGAAGTGGATGTGCCTTCTCTCCAAAAGTTGAAAATAAAATACTGTCGGGTTCAGGGTGAGGAGCTTAATATATTCTTTGAAAGGCAACAAAACATCAAATAAATATATTTACAGAATGTTCATGTTGCGGACGAAGAGGCGCTAGGGAATCGCTGCTCAGAAGTTATCAGAAAGATAACGACTGAAGATGGCCATATTTTAAGGCATCTCGTGAAATAAGATAGGGTTCAAATTATCGAGGAATAACGGCCAGATAAGCCAACGGTACTGAAGTTATTCAAGACTAGCTTTAAAGTGCGATTCCCTTCTATCTTTTATGTTTAAAGTTTTTGCTTATGATACTGAAGTTGTTCACGTGAGCTGGCCTCGCAAATCTCACTTTTATTTTATTTTTATTTAAATCCCTAGATCCTACCATTGTCTAGACCCAGAGCCTTCTCTTTGCCTAGAAGTGCTCGCTGGCACAACTCTTCTATTTCTTTCAGCCCCTTCCAAAATCCAAGACTAAACGCCTGTAATCACATCGGATCCCACCATAGTGGCTAAAAGTAAAGCACACCAGTCCAGGATGCTGGGCGAGTTTGTAAATCCCTCTTTGAGCAAGGTGAGGCTAGGTTTTTGTTTCTATTGAATCAGAGTTCTGAATCGCTAGAATGCACAGAGCCCATTAGACTTGCATCCACTCTTTTTCGTTTAGGGGGATGCTGTATCGAGTGCCCATTCCTAATACGCACTTCTCGATCACGTCTTGTCTGGTTCTTTCTTTTTCGCTTGCCTATCACGGTTTTACCATGGCTGAGAAAATACCAAGTACGAATGGTGTGAATACTATCGATATCTGCAGGTCTCGTAGGCTCTGTGCCACTTTTTCTTTTGGTAGGCTTTGCTTTCCTTGCTACTAACAGTAGCTTCTCACCAACTGCTTTTTGATAGACATCTCTTAGGTCCAGAGCACGTACACCATAATCATCAATGACCAAAAAAAAGTGGTCAGTCATGAGATTTTCAAGAGTGTCTTTTAAACTCTGACCCGCTCCAACCTCAAATTTACAATAAGCGCGAGACTCAAAAAGATATAATACAATGACTGACTTCTCAGAGGAAAACCAGACATCAAGAATACCGTTGACAGGATCAGGTCCTGAGATGATGTTTTTCTTTTGCATTGGGCCGATAGTCGAGATGTCTTCAAACCCAGGAGCCATTAGCTCTCTACCAGGGGTTCCTGGCGGATGAGGCTCAAATTCGACAGGCTCGCTTGCTTCAAAATTTTCAGTTGAGATTCCTTGGCCAGGAGATCCAGCTGAGCTCTCATCTGCCTCAGAATCCAAGGTCTCTCGATTTAGGGGAATTGGCTCGCTTTCAATCTCAGGCTCAGAATCTTCAGTTAAAATCTCTTGCATAGGAGATCCAGGTGAGCTCTTATTTCCCTCGGAATTCAAAGTCTCTCGATTTAAGGGAGTCGGTTCGCTTTGATTCTCGGGCGCATTTTCACTAGGGACATCTGAAAGGTAATCAAAGTTTCCAAAAAAACAAATCAAGATGTCTCGTACAACCCCAAGAGATGTGGGATACTTTCCTGTACTTTCGTGTGCTTTGAAGACCCCTTCAAGAAACAAGGTTTCTCTTATCTCTTGTTACTGTTTTAAAGATGGTCGATTATATCTAGAGCTGGCTCTTTCGCCGAGATCATCGCTTGTGAAAGGGGAAGCTTTTGCCGAAAGCTGGTGACTTCTACTTGGAATAAGTTCCAAGAGCTTGCAGAACTCCGCTGATATTGACTGGAAATCATTATGTTGGAGGCTGTAGAACCCATCTCTACATATATCTTGGCAAAGCTGACTGGCGACAGTTCTGCTGATATCTTCACTTTTGAGCTTGCTGATTTGAGGAGAAGCAAATCCAAGCTGCATTGCTAAAGTAGCGAACCCATGAAGGCTAAGTGCCTCGCTCGACCATGTCAAGACCTCTTGATGACCCTTCTCCTTGTTTATCTTCTTCTTATGCATAAAGTGACGTAGTCCAAATAGCCATAATTGCTGTATACAGACAGAAAGGGCGTTTTTTGGTGTTTGTATTGTCTTGAAGCTATATTCTGAGATTTGGATTTTGATGATTTGCTCCGCTTCTTCATTATGCCATTGATGACGCAAAGCTTCATTTAAGCTACCGTGGAATTTCAGGGGACAAAGCTGGTGGATTGCCTTTGCTGGGCTTTCAAGGATTAGGGTATCCTGTAGAAGAGTATTGATTGTGACCAGTCTCTCTGGAATGGCGAGTAGACACTCCTGTAAGGCAGCTCTTTCATCTGAATTTGTTAAAAGCGGGAAAATTCTTTTAGAACGTACTAGATCAATTAGGAGCTCGCGGTCCTTAGATGAGCATTTTGGCATTAGACCCTCTACTAAAGATATAGAAATAGGATCCACTAAGGACGCCTTGCTAGTGTTAAAAATAGTTGACCATTGTTTATGAATCACTTGAAGGTAATGGTAGATATTCTAGAGAATTTTAGATCAAGACTCTTGAAGATCTAGTAGCTTAATTACTCAAATCTGGGCACTTTAGGCCTAGTATTCTCTCTATCTGAGAGCATTTCAGTGGTTGCCAGAGACCAATATATGGTAGCAATTCGTCGAAACCTTTGAGAAGCAGCGGATTCTTCTGCAATCGACGAATATCTTTTTTTCTTCCCTTGGTCTTAAGTCGAGCCCACCATTTTTGCTCCTGAAAAATGTTTTGATCAAGCTGATATTGCCTCAACATGCGATATATCTCACCGTCTGTAAATTCTAGACTATTAGAAGAATCTTCTCGAAGCTGGATCAGTGCTTTCGATGGCAGATCTATATATAAATACTGGTATCAAAATTTGAGCCCTTAAGCTTAAAGGGTTGAAACACTCACTATCTGTATAGAGGTCCACTAACCATGCAGTAACTCCAAATTTCCCTCCTGCTTTAAGGCGATGGTGACCATAGATACACATAATATGTCCGCTTGTTTTAAAGTTTATCTTCAGCTGGTTTTTCGGATTGAGAAGCTCCTCCGGTGATAGGAGCGACTTCTTAAGTGTTTCTTGCAAATTCTTTGAACTAATCATAGCTGCAACACGATTCTCAGGCTCTAGATTTCCACAGCCCTCAGTCTCAAAGATCTTTACAAGCCTTGCTATGTTTTTTTCTGAGATTTGACGACAACTTTGAGAATCAACTGGTTCAAACCGAAAGTGCCTTAAGTCGATGACCGCAGACCCACGATAGTGACTCAATACAACATGGGCTAAATGAGTTCTCTCATCGTTGAGAACATCGGCAAGGGACATTATTATAGAGTCGATAAGAAATTTCAAGCGAGATCAATTCAGGAAAAAATTGAAAGCAAAATGCAGATTGACACTATATCCCTAAAATAATTACGAGCCATTTTCGGAGCGACAGCCCCCTACCCTTCCTAAGAAATTAGCGGGAAAAATGAGGATCCATTTTCGGCGCGGTACATTATTCTTCTCCAGACACAGTGGCCTTTCTGGACCTAGTAGTCTCTCCAGACCTAGTAGTCTCTCCAGACCCAGTAGTTTCTCCAGACCCAGTAGTCTATCCGGACCCAGTAGTCTCTCCGGACCAGGTAGTCTCTCCGGACCCAGTAGTCTCTCCGGACCAGGTAGTCTTTCCGGACCAGGTAGTCTTTCCGGACTAGGTAGTCTTTCCGGACCTAGTAGTCTCTCCAGACACAGTAGTCTCTCCGGACCCAGTAGTCTCTCCGGAACAGGTAGTCTCTCCAGACCTAGTAGTCTCTTCAGACTCAGTAGTCTCTCCAGACCCAGTAGTCTCTTCAGACCCAGTAGTCTCTCCGGACCAGGTAGTCTTTCCGGACCCAGTAGTCTTTCCGGACCTAGTAGGCTCTCCAGACACAGTAGTCTCTCCGGACCCAGTAGTCTCTCCGGAACAGGTAGTCTCTCCAGACCTAGTAGTCTCTCCAGACCTAGTAGTCTCTTCAGACTCAGTAGTCTCTCCAGACCCAGTAGTCTCTCCGGACACAGTAGTCTCTCCGGACCTAGTAGTCTCTCCAGACATCGTCTCTTGAGATTCCAAAAATTGGAGAAGACCTCAACTATTTTCAATTTATTCTGCTATGCATATCACGAAAAATATTCAATTAGAAGCTTATATATCTATAGATTGGGCTAGCTAGAGTGGTCCCCAATTTGAATCCCTAAAGGAAGTGCTTCGAAGTAGTGCCTTTTCAAACTCCACGAGCCACCGGGGTTTGCAAGACTCAAGAATTCATGCTGACAACTATCATTAGTCTTAATTTTGTTCGAGATTATAATTTAATACCCACTCTGAGAAGTTTCATAGCTGGTTCGCTTTTCGTCTTCTTAACAAATGAGCGTGCTATATTTGATAGCTGCGATGGACGAGTTTCCGTTGAGCCTCTGAGCAATCCTAAAGGATCACTAAGAGAAACAACCATAGATCCCACCCTTTTCAGATCCTCTTGGAATAATAAATGTTCTTCTGCTCTCAAGAAACTATCGCCTATGTTCGCTAGTGAATATTAGATATATTGCTTCCAAGGCTATAGGAGTATGGCTCACCAATCTTTACTTGCCCCTTAAATGTAAGAACAATGTTGCTACAATCAATGGATCCGTGGGCAATGCCTTCTTTTTCATGCAAGAACTGAACTCCTTCTAGTGTCTCTTTGCAAATAGTAGCTATATCAGCCTCAATAAAGTGCGCAATTCCCGCGGCGCAACCTAGAGACATTGCGAAATGCTCATATTCATAGACTAAGTTGGTAATCTCGCCATCAGACAAAAAGCAATCGATAAGGGAAATAAAGTTCTTGTGGTCAAAAGGTAGTATTGATGAATGATCATAACGAGCATTTCGCTCCTTGATGAGGCAGACTGGGAATCCTTCAGTGTCTTGTAGAGCTATTACCCCTTCCCCTGCTTGATTCGCAAAGTATGATCTATGGTACATGGCTTTTTGTGTCGTTCTGATGTCTTTGTTAGTACCAGATGTTGCTGGCTTAATTGGAAACCGAGTTTTAGGGCCCCTCTCGATGTTTGTCGTTTTGCTCTGTTCTTCGCCTGCTCCCTGTTTAACAATATCTAAATCAGATAATGAAAGGGGAAGAACAGTAGTTCGCTTTGAGCTCGTAGTCATTCTTATGTTTTATTGAAAAAATGTTGATCGAAACATCTCCGACATCCATAAGTATATGGGTTTATTATATCCACGCACTTTTTGTCGGCCTATAAGGTGCGCGCCGTTTTCGATTCCCAAATGTTACTACGTGGTTTGAAGGTTACCTGTAATATAACACTTTGTGGTTAATTTTTTTTATCTAGTGTATCACTTTCCAATTTTTACATTTCAACGTCAAGTACTACCTCCTTAGGTAGCTAACTTCAACAAATTAGAATTAAAGCTACCTGATAAGCCCTAGAGTATATCAATAAAATCCCCTGGACAGGCCCGAGTTTTTAGTTGAGACCTAGGGAAGATAACTTTTGACTATACGAAAATAATTCTATTAATATGAAGGCCAGACTATCTAAATACACATTCTCTATAATATAGTGATCACAACTTAATCTTGAGCCGCCGCCAATCCATGCTTTCCAGCTTGCGATCTTAGGTTATGCCATATTCCATTTCCTGCTGCTTATGAGCTGCCTGTAAAGCTTTGAGCTTGAAAAACTTATATGTCACAAGTAGATAGAGAGAAAAGATTGTAGAAACTCCGGACGTGAGGATTGTGAGGAGTGCCATGATCGACCAGGTTCCTTCATGTGCAGTATACATATTAATTATGGTTGTTAGAAAGCCAGCTACAGCATTTAAAAAGGTCGGACTTTTCAGTTCAATATTTCAGTGTCAGATATTGCTTTTCCATATTTGATATTTGACTCACATAAATAAACGATTAATCAACCAAATATAGTTTTGTTTGTACTTCCAAGATAACCAAAGCATAATTGTAGACCCTATGATAAAGAAGCAACAGGCTAGGGCAAGCAGAGGCGGGTTCTGGATTGTATTCAAGAGGCCCTTTTCTGTCTTATTGCTTGCTAATGTCTTGAGGATATTAGACTTATCCAGTGATGTAAAAGTCCCTGGGACTACCAGGTACCCAGCTAGTAGGATCCAGTTGGCTCCACTGGCAAGCAAGTTATATTTCAATGGGGCCTGTTCAGCTTCGATTATCATTTGCGTATAGCGAGTCTCAAAAACCCTGGGTCGCTGTGTAGGATACAGAGCAGATTGCATAATGAACAGTGTACAAGAAAGGTTGACACCATTGAGGGGTACCATAGCATTTATATCACTTCCTGGATAATAGGGAAACTGAAACAATTTAGTATGGAGTAGCTCCACAACTACCTAAGTATGGTTTAATCTCCTTTCATGGTCCTTGATACAAGCTGGTTCTAGGATCAAGATGTATACCACCAATCTGCTTGGTTATATTCTTTATATATTATTACGAAAAGCAAAGTCACCGGAGAACGAGACACTCGAGAGGGAGTTTAGTATCTGGCTCAGGTATCCGCCAATACCACCATAGATATACATACCGAAGGACCTAGGCAGTTGAGAGGTTTCCCATTATTCTTCTGGAGTAAGATCATGGTATTCAGGCAGTAGATTTTCTCAGCCTTATATCAATCTTCTTACTGTCTACGGGTAAATCTATGGCCATTATATTTTTCTCTCAAGGCCCTACACCGATTCCCGTACGTAGTTTTCCCTCTAGAGAACTCTGGTATAAGATAATTGGGCTTCATTATAATAAAGCTAGCTGAAGTTGAAATTCTATGGTCTCAAGAACGAAGATAAGCTTCCTGTTTGACCCCATGGCTGAAACTCTTGCTCATAAAGCGCGATCTTTTTTGCTACACGATTCCGAACAAGTTCTCTCATCTCATTTCTCACATTAGCTCGTGCAGACACTACTTGATTGTTATTTTTATACCTCGATAAATGATGTCTAAATCTTACCAGTGACCAAAAGACTGCCAATCTGATTCTGTATTTCGGACTCAAGCTGGTTTTCCCAGTTTATGAGGCCATTATGAATCTTAATAAGGTTATTTTGTCCAATTTGAAGGATGGAATCACTGGCTCCGGAAGTAAGTGTGTCGTAAACTGTGACGTGGAGCATCTTTGATCAAAGTTAGGGATTTTATTTCGACTAGATTAGTGTAATACTCACTCGACCATTGTCCTGCTCCACTAAAGTTTGTAACCAGTCTCGGGCACTCTCCCAGTCGCCAATTTTGTCTAACTGCCAGACAAGAGATATTTTCTGAGTACAAACTTCTGCGCGATCATGACCGTCAAGCAACGCTTTGATGTAAGGAAGTTGAGCAGCTATTCCAATTCCTGTTGCAACCATGAATATATGACCAAAGATCCCAACATTGACTGGAGAAGGGCCAAATGGGCCATCAATCCAAGCGCCACAATCTCTATTAGGCAAGCACCCGATACCTGTAACTGCCCCTGTCCCTAAAGAAGCGCAAAAACGTGGCCCAGGTCGCCCGCGTAAACACTTTCCGCCCATAACTATCTTTTTGCAAGAGGAGAGCAGCACCAATACTCAGTTCCGAGATTCAAGACAAAAAGAAATCAATGGGTTACTTGAAAAGGGAGTCTTTGAGCTTGTCACAGAAGCCCCACCCGGTGTGCGACTATTTAATTCAAGATTCGTTGACGATATCAAGAATAAAGGCACAGAGCGGGCTTTCGAAAAATCAAGACTGGTCATTCAAGCATATAACAACCAAGAGAAAGACCTGGTTTTGACTCAATCGCCAACGATTCAACGTGTCAGTCAGAGACTAATCCTTTGCATCGCTGCAAGTCGCCAAGGCATTGCCGCTGAATCCAAGCTATTCCTCCGCGATATCTCCCAGGCGTACGTCCAGTCAAAGACCACACTAAACCGTGAATTTTACGCACGCCCGCCGAAGGAACTGATAGGCCACCTCGGGAAAAACACACTTCTGAAGGTCATCAAGCCACTCTATGGCATCCCCGAAGCAGGAAACCACTGGTTCAGGACATATCACTCCCACCATTTGATAAACCTGAAAATGAACCAGTCGACATTTGACCCATGCCTTCTACATACAACAGATTCGAAAGGATTCGGTATCGTCGGACTTCAAACAGATGATACTCTTATCCTTGCAGATAACGAATTTGCAGAAGCAGAAAAACAGGAGCTACAAAAGGCAAACTTCGCGGCAAAAGAGCGCGAGCAACTAACCATTGAAAATCCACTGAAATTCAATGGTGGAGTCATCGAATTGGTAACAGATGGAAGCATCACCCTTGCGCAGAAGGGCCAATGCGATAAGATCTCCCTTGCCAACACCAAAGATGAATACATTGCCGAACGCGCGAGAGGCGCCTATATAGCTTCAGTATGTCAACCTGAAGCTGCTTTCGACTTGGCATTCGCTGCTCAAGCGACCGACTTGAGCAAAGACGATTATAGGTTATTGAACAAACGACTGCATTGGCAAAAAGAGAATTCCGCCAGAGGACTTAGCTTTGTCAACCTAGACTTAGACTCCCTGCAGCTAGTGGTCTTCACAGACGCATCATTTGCGAACAATAAAGACCTCTCATCCCAGATCGGCTATATCATCGCGCTAGCCGATAAGAGAGACGCCCTAAAAGACAATGACACCACGGTAAACGCCAATACCATCCACTGGAGCTCGACCAAATGCAAACGAGTCACCCGCAGCGTCCTAGCATCAGAGCTATACGCTATGGCTCATGGCTCAGACATCGCTTTCGCAATAAAGTCGACTCTAGACCAAATGCTACAGGCCAATGTCCCAATAGTTCTCTGCACTGACTCAAAGTCGCTATATGACTGTCTTGTGACACTGAACTCCACACAAGAGAAACGACTGATGATCGACGTGATGTGCCTTAGACAAGCATACGAACGTCGCCAGATCACTAAGATCAAATGGATCGATGGGAACTCGAATCCTGTAGACGCGATGACCAAGGACAAACCCTGCGACGCGTTAAAGCAATTGATTGACACCAACCGCATTAATTTACAAGCTATCGGTTAGGTTGAACGTTCTGACTGAGCGGGACAGAGAGACTTTGTTTTCAAAAGCAGAAGACTGGATTTTGTGACTGCTGTACGAGTTTGTGTTTCTTTCTTAACTTTTGTGCTCTGACCGCGTTTTTCATCCCTTCTTTAAGTTTGCCCAGTGTTGGAACGAATATCAGCTGACATACCAAGATCATGTGATCTTGGCATGGCAGCTACTATATCTTCTTTCATCTAAGCATTTTAGAATGACACTTCACTTTTACCCAATATGCATACACCTATTATATACGTACAGAAACGATATCAATAGCTGTCTGCTTCGGTAATAACCTAGTCAACCGACAGAAAGATATAATATTTAAATAGGATAAGGAGAAATAAGAATTATTCGAGATCCTAAAGGACCTCTTTATCTCTATACTAATATTAGCTTATTTCCGAGAAGATACTAAAATAATAGTGGAAATAGATGTATCTAGATAGGTGATAGGAGTAGTCTTATCCTAAAGATAAGAAGATAGGACGCTAAGACTATGCGCCTATCTCTCGCGTAAGTTCTTACCTATAGAGACTAATTATATGATATATAATAAGGAATTACTCGCTATTATCTATATATTATAGGAATTGTCGGAACATGGATATTGCAATCATGCAATACCATAAACCCGGAACGGAACAAACAGACCCCCGAGTCACGGGGGAACAACTATATTAGGAACTCAAGTAGCTACATGAATCGAGGACATTTCATACCACTTTACATAACGTATATACTAAGAATCTAGGACGAACCATACCCTTTTCTAGTATATATAGTATAGCATGTGAACCCTATCCTTTCAACGTAGTTGATCGACACTGATCAGTTGACGAGCTAAATCAGACTTAGAGGTTATATCACTAAGTTATTGTGAAAAATCCTTAAAACCACGAAAACTTGTTACAACGATAAGCCAAATTCGATCGAAGAAAATACGATAAAACACTGTTAAGAGCATGAATTAGCACCAGTAAGCCTATTTACTCTTCTAAAAACACAATTTTCAAGTTTGATTTAGAAAACTACACCCTAGTTTCTACCTTTCAACACCTCCTTTATAACTACTTTTCGAAGGACATTCGACTAAAACTTTTCCTTTTCGCATTGGAAAAACTAGGGATACTTAAAAACCCCTAAAAATCTTCCCCTCTTTGAATTATGGGACACCAGAACCTACTAGTGACTTGTTCAACTTCTCCACTTATGACTTATCCGACTCCTCCATAGATCCATGCTAGAATATAGCTAATCTCCCCCTAGCATCACCTATAGGAGCTATATGGCACTATTAGTATACTAGACACCATAGTTAATCAAATCTATATACTATGAATAAAAGCGTAATAACTGTAACAGGCTGGTGCCTGCTTTAGCATTCATGCCTGTGCCACTCATGCTCGTCACGTGCCACCCGCACCCGCATCCCTTATATTGCCACATGTCCATAGCTAGTCTCTCTCTCTCTTCTCTTCAAGCTTAATAAAGACAGTTTGTCGGCATCACTAGTTCTGCATTCAAGATTAGTATTAGCCCTTCGCAATAACCAAGGGTAATTTATATACTATTCCCTAATCACGGAAGAAGACCTGACCCCACGAGACGACGACGAAAGTTTAGATCCACTTACTATCATTATAGATAGAACACCATCATATAGACCACGCACTCGGGGTAGCTATATATAAGCAAGTATACCCGGATCATACACGGAACATACTAGCCCTACACCCGCTTTTAACCAGAGTAGAGGCCAAGGGTACCCCGATGAACATATAGATAGGGACTAGACCTACTAAGAGGCGCACAAATCATAGGGCAATATGATATAAGAGGAGAAAATCAGATTCTACCATAAAAATGGTTTTGACCCATAGGAATATAACTAGGATTAGCGTGAGGAATATATAACCACACGATTTACCTACTATTGTAACAGGTTGAATCCTGGTGAACTATCACGTGGTTGTACCACGTGACCCACCAACCGCATACCTCACGATTCCACCCCGAATTGTTCACGTTCTTCAAGGATTTTGTAAACAGCATGTGCCTAGCTAGTTCTGAATTTAAGATTAGCTTTAGCCCTTCACATACAAAATCCTTCCTCTAACGAGAGTAAAACCCACGACCGACGATAAGAAAAGCGCTCTCAGAAAGTATCTGATCGAGCCATATACAACAGACGAACGAATCGCTCTCGGAAAGAATCCGATCGAGCATACCAACGAATACGAAAAGCTCTTAGAAAGTATCTAGTTGAGCATCCTATAAACAAATTGAAGACGGAAAGCATCCGATTCAAACACGAGAAGAAAACGAATATCTTCATCATCATGGCTGCAAGCGAACCGTCGAGCCCACCCGAGTGGGCCAGGACGTTGATGCAGCACATCAGTCAGACAAGTATTAGTACCGATGAGAGAATTAGAAGACTCGAAGAATTAGTGGTTCGGTCCCAGGAGCGGGCCGCTCCCGAACCACCCACGGAACCACAAGGGATACCAATCGAATCAACCAGCGATAATAACCAGAGTCGACGACCTCGCCCTCGTCTCCCCGACCCCGCGATGTATGCAGGAAACATCTCTGATTGGCCAACCTAGAGAATCTCGATAGAGAACAAATTGCTAGTAGACGGAGCTGCCATCGGTACCCCACAAGAGCAATTCCTCTATACATTTTCCCGCCTAGAGAAAATGGCCGCCAAGAACACCGGAACGTTTATGAAGACATAACGAAGCGAAGGCAACCCGTATATGCTTCTGGAATATCTTGAGAGGATGTATAGAGACCCTAACGCTCGATCACGAGCAGCTCGGCGTCTATATTAGCTTAAACAGAAGCCCGACCAGCCTTTTTCACGATTCCTTCCCTAGTTAGAAAGAGAGCTCGTAGATGCTGGTGCAACCGAATGGCACGACGAAGCAAAACGACAACTCTTACTAAACGCTCTTAACGAAGATATGACGAATTCGCTTATGAATCGTGGTGTTCCCTATGATTTTATAGGTCTTATCACACGGCTCCACGAAATCGACACTGATAGCGAGACACTGAATATCGCATTAGGCAGACGCCAGTTATCCACTCGCCAGCGAATCCAAAGAGATCAATCAACCATAGCCACAGAGGATAGGATGGACTAGACTCCAACAGTAAACACGAACACCACACAGACGAATTCGTCCCGATTCGTGAACGAAAAAGGACAGGTTCGTAAAGAGGATCAACATCTCGTGGGAAAACGTGCAAAATGGGTCGAGAA